CCTGGTGTGAGACCCAATATAGCTTTTCTAAGTAGTACCAGGTGCTTAGTAACATTAATTTTGGAAGGAAGTGATGCACCTAAACTGGGTTGCTATCACTCGGAGGTATAAATGTAATGGCTGTATTAATGATGGAATTTTCTTATATTAGTTTGGAAAAGAAAACTTTATAATTTTGATAACTCCAAAAAAATTTTTAGGTAACAAGGTATGTATAAAATAAAGTTTATTTTCAGAGATTTTAAAACTTTCATCTTTCAAGGAAAATGGACATGTGCTGAAAAGGTGATGAATAGTCTTCTGCAGTGATATTATTCTCAGCATTGACCTCAAGTCCTTGAGATTATCTCCCAGCTGCTGCTAACTCCTGTCATCCACAGGTCGGTGTGGGTAGGGAAAAGGGGCTGGTTCTCTCAAGATTATCTGCGAATCTAGTCATCGGGGCACTTCAGGCAGTTATCATATTAGGAGGCTGAGGGGTTGCGGTTTCTTCCATCAAACCAGCTGTTCGGAGTAAAATTCCTCAGTGGCTGTGACTTCCGATTTTCATCTTGCTTTCATATTTTGACTTTGACTTGTTCTGTTGTATTAGTTTGCGTCATCAGTTTGGGAACTAAGCTGAAGTTTGTGACTATGTGTTGTTGAAATTAGACAAGATCTTTTCACAGTTCCAGTATTAGTTGTTACCTGAGACGGAAAGAAAAAATCCAAATGAGAATCTTCTTTCAGGCCCTGCTGATAGCTAAGTGAGGCTAGAGGAGAACTAAGTGGTGATGAAGGCCAGGTGCAACCTGAGTGCAGTTAAGTGGAGGAGCTGCAGTCTGGAAAGCTTTAGTGATGATAGCAGGTTAGAGGAAATGTGCTGTGAAATATACTCAGGTCCCAACCCCTGGGCCCTGCTCAAAGCTGCTGCATGTGGTTTGGTCAGATCCCTGCTCAGCTGCCAGTTTACTCTCATTCTACTCTTCTGGAGGAAAATGAAGACCTCTCACACCTCCCAGGTGGAGATGTGCATAGCCTCCAACATGCACATTCAGAAACCAATCCATTTGCACCCTGTGGAGGCCAGCATTCTCTAAAGTTACTTCCACATCAGGATATATCTTAGTGGAATTTCTAGGAATATTTTCAATAGAAAAACTAACAGAATTTTGAAGTGAAAAGTGAAAAACTACTAATTTCTTGTTCTTAGGTGGTCTCCATAACCTGATTTGTTCCAAATGAGTTCTTAGGTAAATATTTTTTTTAACCTGTGATGAAAATACGCACAACTAATCATGTGCCAATTCCACAATTTCTACATGTGTATCAGTGACATTGATTACATTCTTTCAGTTGTGCAGCCATTCTCACTATCCTTTTCCAAATTATTCTATCACCATTAACATAAACTCAATGTCGCCTAAGAAAAACTCCCCATTCCCCCCACCCCCACTTCTACCCCAGTATTTAATAAGTTTTGGTTTCTATATATTTCCTTCCCCAACTCATCTGTCAGTCTGTCAGTGGAATGAGGGAGATCATTGCTGATATCAGAGGATCTTGGCTGAAAGCAGAGAATATCAGGAAGCTGTTTACCTGTGCTTTCTTGGATATGCAAAGGCATTCAACTGTGTGAATCATAACAAATTATGGATAAAATTGCAAAGAATAGGAATTCTAGAACACTTATTTGTTCTCATGTGGAATCTGTACATAGACCAAGAAACAGCCATGCAAACAGAACAAGGGGAGACTGTGTGGTTTAAAATCAGGAAAGGTGTGTGTCAGGGTTGTATCCTTTCATCATACTTATTCCACCCGGATGCTGAGCAAAGAATCCGAGAAGATGGACTATATGAAGAAGAACATGGTGTCAGGATTGGAGGAAGACTCATTAACAAACTGCTACATACAGGTGGGAAACACTGGTGGCATAGTGGTTAAGAGCTATGGCTGCTAACCAACAGGTTGGCAGTCTGAACCCACCAGATGCTCCTTGGAAACCATATGGGGCATTTCTACTCAGCCCTATAGGGTCACTATGAGTCAGGTCACTATTCTTTGGAATCGACTCCATGATAAGATTTTTTTTTTTTTTTATGCAGATGACACAACCTTGCTTGCTGAAAGTGTAGAGGACTTCAAGCACTTACTGATGAAGATCACAGACTACCGACTTCCGTATGGATCACACTCAACATAAAGAAAACAAAAATCCTCACAACTGGACCAATGCCCATGGAAGCAGCAGTCAAGCAATCAAAGAACTTATTCTATTGGGCAAATCTGCTTCAAAAGACCTCTTTAAAGCATTAACAAGCAAAGATGTCACTATGAGGACTAAGGTGTGCCTGACCAAGCATAGTGTTTTCAATTGCCTCATATGCATGTGAAAGCTGGATAATGAATAAGGAAGACTTAAGAATTGATGCCTTTGAATTATGGTGTTGGCAAAGAATATTGAATATTCCATGGACTACCAGAATGAACAAATCTGTCTTGGAATAAGTACTGCCAGAATGCTTCTTAGAAGCAAGGATGGCAAGACTTCATCTCGTGTACATTGGCCATGTTATCAGGATGGACCAGTCTCTGGAGAAAGACATCATGCTTTGTAAAGTAGAGGGTCAGCAAAAAGAGGAAGACCCTTGATGAAAGGGACTTACCCAGTGGCTGCAACAATGGGCTCAGACACAGCAATGATTGTGAGGATGGCACAGGACTGGGCAGTGTTTTATTCTGTTGTGCACAGTGTTGCTGTGAGTAGGAAGTGACCTGACAGCACCTAACAACAACAACACATATTTCCTTATTTCATTTAAGTGAGATCATATGGCATTTGTCCTTTTGAAACTGACTTATTTCACTCATCATAATGTTTTCAAGGCTCATCCATGTTGTGGCATGCATCATGACATCCTTTCTCTTTATGGCCGAGTAATAATTCCATTTTGTCTATCCATTCATGTGGATGGACATTTCATTTGTTTCCACATGTTGGCTGTTGTGCAAGCGCTGCAATGAACGTTGGTGTACAGGTTTCTGTTTGCATTCCTGCTTTCACTTCCTCTGGGTATATACTCAGGATTGGATTGCCGGGTCATATGATAGTTCCATGATCATTTGTTTATTTTTTGAGAAACCACTAAACTGTTTTTGTTTGTTTCTTAAGGACTTTATGCCATTGTGTTTTTGTTGTTAGGTGCCATCGAGTCGATTCAGACTCCTAGCAACCCCATGTGACAGAGTAGAACTGCCTCACAGGGTTTTCTGGGCTGTAGTCTTTATGGAAGCAGATCGTCAGGTCTTTGTCCTTTGGAGCCTCTGGATATGTTTGGAACCACCAACCTTTAGGTTACAAGCTGAGCGCTTAACCGTTTGACCCTGCAGTGCTCCTTTTATGCCACTGTAAAGAATAGGAAATACAAAATATTACCTTTTTTTTTTTTTTTTTTTTTTTTTTTTTTACTGTTACAGTTTCCTTAGGAGAGTAAGTCCTGAAAGCTCTCTTGTGGGGTTTTGTTTAATCAAATAGATGGTAAAAAGTAAAATTTTCAAATTGCAATTCTAAACTATTAGTAGGTGTGAAATCAATGTAGTGATTAATTACAGGTTTTAATTAAAGAATCAGAAAGGAAAATAAAAGGATGCATTACATGTAGTGAGCACAAAAAATTTTTTTAACGTACGCTGGGTCACAAAGAATTATATATTTCTTACTGCATCTTGTGGTCAAAAAAGTTTGAGTGACTCCATTCTACACAGACAGTTATAGGTCTAATCTATCATCTACCTTTTTTCTCTTCTCCTTTTTCCATGTTATACAAAAACAAGACTGTTGAGAGAGAAATGCAAATTTCATCAATAGTTGATGTTCAGCCTTTTCTATGAAGTAGCCTTACCTTTGGGATACTTTTATGCTAGTGATCTGAGATCGTAATAGACCAATGGTCTCTCTCATCTCTATCTGCGTATTAGAATCACCCAGGGAGCTTTGAAGAATAATGATGTCCAAATCCAACTCCAGACCATTTAAATCAGAATATCTAGGTGTGGAGTCAAAGGATTTGTGTTAGTTCAGAGCTGACCCGGTTCTTACTAGACCCACCCTATTTTCCATCATTATCTTTGCCTCTCCCCTTCTCTTCCAACATAGGCTTCTTTCCTATTGGACCTAAAGACTTTATTCTTCCTGCTCACAGGTTTATAGTCTCAGGTAAATCACTCTCTCATTTGGACTTCCAAGACAAACATTGTCCTGATAGTTCTTGTTTTCCTTCTGTTTATCTATGAGTCTTTACAAAGTTAGATTCCCTTTTCCCAAAGCCAGTTCACCACAAAGGTCTCCTCAAGTCAGCTAGCTGAAATTCATACTCCAATACTTGTCAGTCATTGGTAAGTGCTTTTGCAGGCACTGATTGCTGTAGGACTGACATAAATGCCCAGGTAATTCCATGTCCCTGAGCCATCAGGCAAAGTAGCTCCAGTAGTCTAAGTGTAGTCCTCCTCAGAAGGATCCTTGAAAGCAAAAGGAAATCATAGGTATGAGAATGGAAAAGGGATCCCAGGTGGATGCTGTGCAGGGATGGATAATGAGGTGGATATTGCACCCAGCAGAAACTCAGTAAATAGTGTCTGAGGGAATAAAGGTAGTTTGAAGATATTCTGCAGGTTTATAAACATTTTTGCCAATCTGAAGATATGCTTTTTTTTTTTCTCCTTCTTTCTTTCTCAGTAATAAGAGTTAGACACCATAATGCAACTGGGATATTATGGTTTGAATACAAAAAATTTATACTTTGCAAAGGATCAACATGAACTATACTCATTTTAATATTTTACTACTTTTATTTTTTATCAGTTTGAAAATTGGGGCTTTTGTTCTTCTTCAGGTTTATATCACCTTTCTGGTGTTCATACTTTATCCAAGACTGCTGACCTGGAATCTAAATTAAAAAAGTGGAGGCCTATTTGGTCAGAAACATAAATACTCTACATGTGTAGTCGGGATGCTCTGAGAAGTATTCCCGGAGCCCTCAGGTTGTTCTTTAAGAAGTGGCCTGGCATGCCTTCCTGAGCCCACTGCGTAGAGTGTTCCTGATGGAGTGAATCATTGCCATGCTGCCACCTGAGTCAGACAAAAAAAATTAAAGTATTTTTGGTTCCCCAGTGCACAGGATACTTCCCCAGATGCTGTCTGAACTTCTCCAGCCTTCAGTTCCACCACAGAGCTGGTTGCTAGACCATGGTTGTGTGTCCCACGACTGCTCTCACACAGAACCTACTCCAGTCTCTGAGGAGAGAACAAACGAGGTCCCACTTGTCCTTCAAAGTCAGAGGACTACAAGGGTGCCTCCATGTCTGCCCCTGTTCTGCTTTCTCAGGTGTTCTCACGGGTAATTTTCTCTATAAAAAGTGTTCCAGTATAAATCATCTTTACCATCAGCAGGTTCTACTAAGTATTTCAACTAACCTGAAAACAGTGAGGGGCTTTATTTTTTTTTCAAATACACTCAGAAACATTACTTCATTTGATGTCTTCAGTAATCACAGAATGCATGATTTGACCCATTTTACAAATGAGAAAACAGAAATCCAGGAAGGATAAATCACTTGCAGAAAGTTAGCAAAGACAGCACTGATAAAAAACAAGCAAGCAAAAAAGATCAGATGGCTGCTGCCTCCTGCCCCAAAAGCCTGTGATGAAGGAGCCACTTATAATAATGTGACCTCCAGCTCTATGTATTTTGCCACCGTACTCACGCCTTGCCTGTCCTGATATTGTCATAGCCCCCAGAATGCGAGGTGAAAAGCAGGACATCTAGTTAAAAGTCACTCAGAGTTGTGGAAGCACAGAGTCTTATGTGAGACTAGGACCTTGGTAGGAGCTAAGGGTCTTCAGAGCCTGAGGCCAACTTACCAGTGGTGAGTTTGCTCACGAGGTGCTCTGCCAGTTGGCTTTCTTGGGCCAGCTGATCACGGAATCTCTGTCTCTGGTAGTTGGCAATGTTAGTATTCCTGATGAAGTCCTCAAAAGACTTGACTGTGTTTTTCATATGCTGTGTGAAAAGGTAACACCCACCAATCCCTTCCTGTATCTTCTGATGTAAATGGATCAGTTCTTGAGCTTGAGCCAGAATTAGGGAATCATATTTCCTAAGATGGGAAAGAAGAGGAAAATACACTAGTGAATGCAGTGAATGAAAGGCTATGACAGTTTCATCAGAGATATCTCTTAGAACACCCCCAAGGAACTCTCCAAGTTGAATTCCTGCAGAAAGAATGAGGAAACAGCCTTAGGTATATTTGTTTTACTAACTTTGCTTAAAAATGATGCCGCTTCAGTTCCTCACTTCAGCCAAGTTGACACACAACCTTAAGCAACGCAGTCTACCGCTTCTCAGCTTGGCACTTGTACACATCTCCTTAAACAATATGCAATCTCTAAATAAAGACAATTATAAAGTCATATGTACACCTAACATGATACATCTAAAATGCATACAACCGAAAATGCACTAGCCCTGTTTACATCCTATATTTTATAAGTGAAAAAACCAAAAATATTTGATCCACACATACAAGGAAGAAATACTCGTAACAATTACAGTCCTTATTTCTGCAACTGGGCACATGGTCGTAGTTGGTATTTAGAACTACCTTCTTCCACCACCCATTCCGTATTCCCTTTGCCCTCAGTAAGCACCTCAGCTGGTCATGGTTCTTTGCCTGGTGAGATTCCTGAAGGGTCTGTACCATTAGTAGTCATACTGGAATTGGGTTGCTGTATTTTTCATTGACTTTAATAACAGGGAATGGAAATACTAAAAGACACTCTAAGGGATCTCCTGTATTCCAGACATACTCTTCTTTACCTCCGTTATGCAACATCAATCCAAGTTCCCCTGGGTTGTCAAGGCCAATCACACCAGACAATATGGTAACTCCCTTGTTTGCCTGTTGCTCCAGAGGCATGAATAGGCCAAAAGGCCAGGTGGCATTCTTAACTTCCAGTTCAATGAAATCTTCGGTGTGTCTCCATGTATGAGCATTCCTCCCTTTGGAACCAAGATGTCTAGACCTGCAGAGCATAGGCTCACGGGGACAGGGAGCAGAAATTTTGCGAGTAGGTTGCTAGGAGTAACAGTGAGTGGTGTCACTCCCATCTCCACCCCTTGATTCCTGGAGCTGGAAACCTTTCCTATGGGAGAAACAGTACCATGTATCGGACTCTGCTTTAGAACACATACAGCCTCCTGGAGAACATTGCCTCAATCCTGCAAAGTGTGCCACCTAGCTGGCACCATAATTGTGTCTTTAGAAGGCCATTCCATTGTTCCATCAAGCTAGCTGCTTTAGGATAATGGGGACCATGGTAAGACCAGTGAATTCCATGAGCATGGGCCCATTGCTGTACTTCATTTGCTGTGAGGTGAGTCCCTTGATGCTCTGCTGAATATCATGACGGTGGATAAGGCATTCTGTGAGTCCACTGATCATAGTTACATATGCAGGGAAGGCTAATCCATATCCAGAGTAAACGTCTATCCCAGTAAGAATGATACTCTGTCCTTTCCATGACGGTAGTGGTCTGAAGTAATCAACCTGCAACCAGGTTGCTGGCTGATCACCTCGAGGAACAGTGCCATATTGGAGACTCAGGGTTGGTCTCTGCTGCTGGCATATTCAGCATTCAGCAGTGGCTGTAGCCAAGTCAGCCTTGATGAGTGGAAGTCCATGTTGCTGAGCCAATGCGAAACCTCCATCAATGCCACCACGACCACTTTGTTCATGAACCCATCAGGCCATGACGGGAGTGGCTGAGAAAAGAAGACGACTGGTTCCCACTGAACGCATCATATTATCCTATTGATTATTAAAATCCTCCTGTCCGGAGGTCATCCTTTGGTGATCATTCACCTAAGACACAAATATCTTCATTTCTTTGGCCCGTTCAGAGAGGTCTATCCACATATATCTTCCCCATACCTTCTTGTCTCCAATTTTCCAGTCATGGTCCTTCCAAGTCCCTGGCCATCCAGTCAAACCATTGGCCACAACCCATGAATCAGTAATACAATGGCACATCTAGCCATTTTTCCTCCAAGGCAATGTGAACATGGAGGTGCAATGCTTGAAGTTCTACCCATTTGGAGGATTTCCCTTCATCACAGGCCTTCAGGGACATCCCAGAAAGGGGCTGCAGTGCTGAGGCTGTCCACTTTGGAGTGGTGCTTGCACTTCGCACAGAACCATTTGTAAACCACCCATGAGTTTTCTCTTCCTCAGTCAAGTGATCACAAGGAACTCTCCATGAAGCCATAGGTACAGACTGGGAGAGGGCAGGCAATGTGATAGCAGTGGAGACAATGGGCATTTGGGCCATTTCCTCATGCAACTTACTTGTGCCTTCATGTCCTGCTCAGGCCCAATCTTGTATATATCACTTTCATTTTAATGATGTAATGTTATGTCTGACTTTATGGCTTTGTCGGTCAGACAACACCCAGTTTATGATGCCAGCTCAGGTCACATGGTGACTTGGTGGTCCGTGGTTAAACATTTGGTCTCTACTAAGGCCCAGTACCAAGCCAAAAGCTGTTTCTCAAAATGAAAGTATTGTTGCAGAGGATGACAGGGCTTTGCTCCAAAATCCTAAGGATCTGCAGTGTGATTCACCAATAGAGGCCTGCCAAAGACTCCAAACTCTATCTGTCACTGATACTTCAAGGCACCATTTGATCAGCCGACTCATATGGCCAAGAGGCAGAGTGGCTTGAGGGCGGCCTGAAGTTTTGTGGAATTAATTTCCCATCCTCTAGCATGCAAAAGTTTTACCAATAAGTTCAGAATCATTGACACTTCTTCTTATTAAGGTTCATTCAGCATAATGTCGTTAATGTAATGGATCAGTGTGATGTCTTGTGGAAGGGAAGGGCCATCAAGTTTCCTGAAGACTAATTTATGACATATGGCTGCAGAGTTGATATACCCTGGAGATAGGACAATGAATATGTATTGCTGTCCTTGGTGTTCTTTCAAAACTGTAATTAAGAAAAAGGTATTGGCCAGATCAATCGCTACATATCAGGTACCAGGAGATGTATTAATTTGCTCAAGCAATAAAGCCACTTCTGGAACAGCAGCTGCAACTGAAGTCGCCACCTGGGTAAGTTTACAATAATCCACTGTCGTTCTCCAAGAGCCCTCTGTTTTTTGCACAGGTCAAATAGGCGAGTTGAATGGGGATGTGGTGGGAATCATCACCCATCGTCCTTCAAATACTCGAAGGTGGCAATGGTCTTTCCAATCCCTCCAGGAATGGGCTATTGCTTTTGTTTTACTATCTTCCTACGTAGGGGCAGTTCTAATGGCTTCCACTTGGCTTTTAGTGTCATAATAGCCCTTACTCCAGTTTTCAGGGATCCAGTGTTGGGGTTTTGCCGGTTATTGAGTAAATCTATTCCAAATATGTGTTCTGGAACTGGGGAAATCACTATGGGATGGGCTCAAGAACCCACTGGACCCACCGTGTGATGGACCTAGCTAATAACCTGGCCTCTATATGCCCCCACTCTGACTGGCTGACCACAGTGACATTTTGAGTCTCCTGAGATTAGTGTTATTTCAGAGCCAGTATCCAGTAATCCCCAAGAAGTCTGATGATTTCCTTTTCCACAATGAACAGTCACTCTTGTAAAAGGCCATAGAACACTTTTGGGAAGGCTAGGAGAAAGATTAATGGTATAAATTTTTGGCAGTGTAGTGGGGTCCTTCTTCAAGGTGACCAGGCTTCCCCTATATTCAAGGGGTTGTAGGTCTGTAAACTGGCTCAAGTCTAGGAATTGATTGAGGGGCTGTGACTTTCTATTCTGGTGATTCAAGTTAGACTGTGGTTCACTTGACCTAGAAATCTTCTGGATTGTACATTTACACTCATCGACCCCATCTGATGCCTGAATCTTCCCCCTTTTGCACTATGAAGAGGTCATCTATAGATCATTTTCCAAATTCTATTCTGTAGAGTTCCTATTAAGTGTCAGAGGGAGTAAAGGCATAGACTACGGAGAAATAAAGGCTCCATACCTATGGCCCTGTCTTAGATTGGGGTCTCTAAAGAAGCAAAATTGATAAAGTGTATAAATATTTATATAGAGACAGATTTATATCAAGGAAATGGCTCATGAGTTTGTAGATGGTGTAACATCCCAAGTCTGTGAGTCAGGATAGAGGCTTCTCCTGATTCACATAGCCACAGGGGCTGATGAACCCAAGATTGGCAGGTCGGGGAGCAGGGCTCTTGCTCACAGGCTGTGAAGATCAATGAATCCCAAGATTAGCAGACAACACCTCAGGTAAGCTGCTAGCTCAAGTCCCAAGAACCGGAAATCAGATGAACAGGAGCCAGCTGTAGGATCCTGAAAGAGCAAAAACCCCTGAGCCCTGCTAGAACGTCCACCCACACTCAGTGCAGGCCAGATTCCAGGCTACTCTCAGTAGATCTTATCATGGAGGTTATAACATATCAAATCTCAGCAGGGAAGTGACCACAACATCACACGACTGCCAAAACACTGAGAATCATGGCCCAACCAAGTTGACACACGATATTTTTTTTTTTTTTTTGCTTCAACAAAGAGAAGTTTATTTCCTCACAGCATAGTAGGCTAAAAGTCCAAATTCAGGGCATCAGCTCCAGGGGAAGGCTATCTCCCTCCATTGGCCTTCTTCTCATCAGTGTTCCCCCAGACTAGGAGCTTCTCCACACAGGGACCCCAGGTCCAAAGGATACGCTCTGCTCCTGGCACTGCTTTCTTGGTAGTATGAGGTCCCCCAACACACAATCTTAACCATCACAGGCCCCTTCTATCAAGTATCTGTGCTTTAGTGTGTCTTACACACATGGGCCTCTAAGATTTCATTTCAACACAGGATTAAAAAAAGTTTCGAATGTCACAATCTACCATGTCTGAAACTTCCTGAGGATAGGAAATGCTGGTCCTCAGCAAATTGACGACTCATTTCCCAGGCAACATTTGCTCAATTATCTGTCTACACAATGGTCTTACTAATTAATACCCTATATAGTATGATACTTAGAAAAAAATCAAAGTTGGAGAGGAGAAACCTTTTTATCAGGAGAACTTGAAAATTATCTTTTGTAGTATAAAATTTTAGTCTATTAAGGACAGCCACCATTCTGACAAAAAAATAAGAGAAAGTATAATAATTGCAGCAAATATTTTTTGAGAGAGTCATATGTGCCAGAGATTATTCTGACCACTTTACTTGTAATCATATATTTTAATCTTCATAACTCTCTGAGGTAGTTAGTGTTGGAATCTTCATTTTACAGATGAGGTAGCCAAGGTAACCAAGACCCAGGAAAGTTAGGTAAATTTGCCCAATATCACAAACCTAGAAGTTAACATTGCTAGTGTTCCAACCTAGGCATCTGTCTCTATTTTATTCATATATTATTTAAGGGAGAATCCTAGAGACCAAAATTCTTCCAGGCACTGGACCACCATTGAGTTCCCACAGCTCTCTGTTTGTGTAGTTTTATGCCTTTGCACAAATTTGCTCTTCATTCTACCAGCTTGGGCTGCCCCACTTCAAGCAGAAATTCACACTTTCCCATAGCCTGCCCTGCACAAATCCCTCCTTACCCAATCCTTGCCCTGGTCTCTCCTCCTCAAACTGCAGCTCTTCTCCCAGCAAGGATTCAAAGAGGGCCTTGTATTCTTCACATTCTGAGAACAGACAGACACACCTGCCTCAGTGAAAAGCTGGAGCCACTGATGATCACTATCTTCAAGGAAGGAGGCAGGGCTCATCCCAAGGACACAAATAACCCCAGTTCCAGGATTTATGCTGGATTTCCACATCTTTATTTCTCAGTGTCCCAGTAGTAAAGCATTTGATCACTCCCATTTTAGAGACAAGTAAAGAGAAGTTCAAGGCATAATGGTTAAGAGTTCGACTGCTAAACGAAAGGTTGGCCATTCCAAACCTCCCAGCAACTCCTCGGGAGGAAGATGTGGCAATCTGTTTCTGTAAAGATTATAGTCTAGGAAACCCTATGGGGCACTTCTAATCTATCACCTGGGGTCACTATGAGTCAGAATCGACTTGAAGGCAATTGGTTTGGGTTTTTGTTTTTGTTTTTAAAAAGAAGCTCAGAAGAAAGTAAGGTAACTTGTTCAAGATGATTCAGTCGGTATTTCACAGAGTCAGAATTCATATCCCCTGAGTTCTGACTCTGATTCGGGGATCCCTTTACCAAGCCTTATGGCCTCTTAAATGATACACTCACCTGCGGCTTGAAGTAGATTTTCATTTCCTGTAAGCTTGGGAAGACCCCAAGGAGTATAGCACTGATGATTTTCCCATGTCGATAGTTTCAATAATCCCCTAATATTTCAAAGACTTGAAAGCTTATCTGGATAAAACTGTGTAAAAAATGCAATGGGAAAAAAAAATACCTGAAAGACATATCTTCAAATGCTAACAGGTATTAAGTTAGAACTGGTAGGAGGGAGTGTTTCCCATGTTTCAGGCATTGTTCTAGTAGATTTTCAAGAATTAATTAATTATGCCTGCTACCTGAAGACATGGACACTACTCTTATTACCATTATAAATGAAGAAACTGAGACACAGAGAAGATACCTTGGATTTGAGCCCAGGGAATTTAGCCTCAAGGTACATGCTCTTGATTACTGCACCGTATTGCATCTACCCTAAGATCTTACGTGACATCTTCTTCTGTAGCTTCAGAAATTTTGTCCTACATTTTTATCAGGGTCATAATGAATAATGTGAAGGAAAAAAAAAAAAAAACCAGAAAACCTTAGTTTTCCCATCTCCGAAAGCTTATCTTTTCACTGCATTTTTACTTTTTGTCTAAGACAATAAGTTGATTAATTTTATCCCCTGTTGATTTGTTGAAAAATAATTGTATAAATTTGAAAGCCAATGCCTTCAATGCCATCAAGAATCCTTCTCTAATATTCCTGACCCTCTTGTTCCCCTATTTCCATGTTTTCTTTAGTCACTGTATCACCACCCCTCTCCCCCATTATTAACAGGTTTGGGGTTGCCAGTGGATTTCCAACTGTGAAAGGGAGGGAAGGGCCAGCCTCTACACCAGCCTGCTGGGACTGGTGATCTCCTCCACTTGGCCTTCTTCTCAGTTTGGCCATGTGTCTCACAGCCCAGATGCTGCAGGTCTACCTGGACTTGCTTGCAGTTTGCAAGGTTCATATTCAGGGAGAGATAGAAAGAGTGTTATAGATTCTCTGAGTTTCCTGGAAATACCCTCACCAGAGTATGAGGACTGGCTTCCTTGAACTTATGTGGGAAAGAATCTTGCTTCAGGCACATGAATTTCCCTCTGTGTTTGCTACTCGTGTTCTCATCTCTAGAGACCCAAGGCTAGGTTGGGAATAGACAGTGTTACGCTGAGGCAGGTATAGTGTACTAGCACCTTTTTTTCCCCAGTGCAGCTGACAAAATGCTTTGTCAGTAACAGTTTGAATTGAATTCTGAGATATTTAGGTCAACAGTGGTATTATATGTTTGTAGAATCTGAAACAGTTTCCTGAGCAAGAAAAGGCAGTTTTCTGCCTGAACTAGGATTCTGGCCTCTGTTCCTCGCTACACTCTCACTGCAAACTTGGGAAAATTGCTCCACCCCTTTATGCCTCAGTTTTTTCATCCTTTGAAAATTAAGGATAAAATATCCACTTCTACCTTTCTAGGAGTATGGTCAGGATAAAATTTATTTCGATGAAGGAGCGAGTAGAGCGTTTAGTTTCTGGAGAGTGTTTAGTTTCTCAGAGAGTAGACAGACAATCATTCATCACTTTGGTGACCTTGACCCTATAGGAATTACTGTATTTCTGCAGCTGGTTGGCCAGGGTGTAGGCAGTAGCTTCAGATATAAGGAATTTCTCTTTGAGGTCTCTGAACTGCTATTTGCTTTGTGCTAGCTGGGAGCGCAACTCCTGGTTGAGTTCTAGGATACTCCTTTCTGCCCTCGACCTACAGCAGGTGGTGAGAGATAATTCCATGCTGAAGCTTATGGTGGAGGGAGTGGAGGCAGAGCCTGAAGAGAAGAAAACCAGACAAATAATAAATTAAAGACCAATTAATGGATTATGCTGATGGTTGCACATCTTGCTGAATTTACTAAAAATCATTGAATTGTACAGCTAAAATGGGTAAATTCTGTAGTGTAAAATTATATCTCAAGAAAGTTGTTTTTTTTTTTTTTTTAAGTGAAAAAAGTGATTTAAACTGGTCTAAAGGATGCAGATGTGATTCATAACTTACTTTTGGGATAAAGTTTGTCAGCATCACACGACACTTGAGACTCCTGAACCACCAAAACAAGGAGGAAGGTCCAGAGCTCAGAGCCTAAGGCACTGCCTCTAGCTCAGGCTCCAACAGGAGTGCCAGAAGGAGGAGCCAGAGCACCAGGTTAACTGCCTGGAGTCGCAGTAACAGAATCGGAAGGTGGGAGGGAGGTGTCATGGAATCTTGGGAGCCGCTGCCTTCCAGTTGCCTGGGCCATGCTGATGCACAAGGCTGCTTGGTCTCCTCTGAAGGTCACACCGATGGGGACAACCCCTCAGCACCACTCTTGGTATATGTGTACCCTATTGCTGATACAAAAAACCTACTCTTTCTAAAATTTAAGGATATTTTTCATTATTTTTGCAAGTCCATAGAAAACATCAAGGATTCCATATTTCCACCAAATTCCTTCATTTTCTTGAAGAATGTCATGAAATCACTTCTTCTTCATGAAAAACTTAATGGAAAACTTAAAAACTACAGATAATCGTGGTGTTCTTCTTTGGTTCTTCTCCAGTTGTTTTTTTTCCCCTACACCATTTAATATTATAAGAACAAAATCCAGAGTATAATACTCTACTCAGTTTGGGAATAAATTGTAAGATTTTTGCACTGACTATCTCGTGTTCTTCTTGCTGCAAACCAATGTTATGTTGGCTTCTTTTTCTTCAGGGTAGCATGCTGGCTTTTCATGAAACTTAAAGTCAAGTTTCACATCCCTACCTCCTAATTCCACCCTCCTCTAGTGTGTGAGTTATTTTGTTTTTTAATGTCCATATACATATTTTGCACTTTTCACTTAAGAATTTCATTCTAGCTCCATAGGGTCTCTTTCCAACTTGTCAAAGTCATTGAAATATCTCATCCTAGTTGGTTATTACCCAGTTAGCCTCATGATTGCCTGGACCCCTAAGATTTATGTATATCTCATTGAATGCATGTAGTATCCACTCATTTGGGGACGACTTATAAACCGATGCTATTCTTTATGTTCAGGAGAAGTTTCTATGGGACACTGATTCATAGATCTGTTTGGGTTGACCAAAGTCACTGACCTGTGGTTATCCTGTGGCTGTGTTTTCTGATAGAACGTAGTAAAATCAAGATCATGGACCTGTGGTGGTTTGTGGTGATCCACAGCATTCCTGCGCAACTGGGTTTAGTGGCATAGAAGCTGAGCTTTTAAGGAGAGGTGCAGACAGACAGGAGAGAAAGTCACTCCCTGACATAGCTCTTCACTTTCTAAGTATCCATTCCTCCCTGATTTTGTGAGCCTGAGACTAGGAAGATTGCATGGAATATTTGTTTCTTCCGTTTAGCATCCTGGCTTGCCTACACAGTTGGTGGGGTAGGCCTTTGGGGCCCAGAGAAGAGGGAGCTTTGTGGGAAGGAATTCTCGAGGAGGGGAACTGTGCAGAGGGGCCACAGGCTTCCGGTGGTGATGGGCCCTGTGCCTTGCTGGTCTGGGTAAAATTAAGAAGGATGAGTCATAAGTGGAGAGCAACATGTTCAAGAAAATCACTGTTCTCACTCCTGTTTGTTGTACATTCCACCAGGCAAATCTTTAGTCGGGATAATTTTTAAAGCTTATGGTAAGCAGCATTGGGAGGAGGCCATGGCAATCCTTAGCTCTGGAGGTTTGGGGGAGGAGACTCTGGAAAAGGAACGCCTGGGGGCATGTGGTTTGTCCACACCATTTTCATCAACTCTCTTCTTTGGCAAATCTTGTGTATTTCCCAGATATCATATTGCAGTTACCATATTGGTGCAGTTAATACTTTCGGATTTGTGAGACTCTTGATCTTCACGACTGGGGTGTGGGGCGGGGTTTTCTACTGTCATCTAGTTAGCAGAGGCCAAGGATGTTGCTAACCATCCTGCAATACACAGGAGAGCCCCTGCCCCCCTCCCCCTCAAGAAAGAATTATCAGATGTAAAATACTGATAGTGCTGAGTTTGAGAAACACAAGGATCATGCTTAAGTGACTAGAAAACATGAATTCCTGCTGGGGTGGAAGGAAAACTCTGACGTCAAAGAAAATTGTTAATAGGTCGTTGCTTATTGATCCAGTTATGACGATTTTGGTTTTTTTCATCTTGAGGTGTAATCCATTCTGAGGGCTGTAGTCTTTGATCTTCATCAGCAAGTACTTTAAGTCCTCTTCACTTTCAGCAAGGTACTGACAAAGAAGATGTCAACAGAATCAATTAGCATCTAGATTCACTCACAAAAAAATAAGAAGAAAATTCCATCTGTTTGGAATTATAGAGGAAATTCTATCAATCCTGTTTCAAAGCAGAGATGAAAATGAAATTTAGAAAATATTCTGAACTAAATAAAAATGAAAATTCTGCATATACTGCATAATGTGCAGCTAAACCAGTCCTTAGAGGACTACACACAGCTTTAAACATGAATGTTAGAATTTTAGTGGTGATAGTTACCGAGCGAAGTCTCCATTTCAAAAAATTACAAAAAGAATAACAACAGAACCAAAAGCAGAAAGGAGTACAAATTAGATATTTAAACAGAAATTTAAGATTAAAAATAAATATAGAGAAGAGAAGATAAAATAAATAGTTGGTCTTTTACGAACACTGCTAAAACTGACAAAACTCTGGTAAGTGGGAGGTAGAAAAGAGAGAGAAGGCACAAACAAGCAACCTGAGGAATAAAACAGAAGTGATTTATTGAACTTCTAGATATAATCTGATAATAAATGAATATAATGAGCAGATATGTGCCAATAAATTTTAAAAAATAGAGAAAGTGAACAAATTCCTAGAAAATATACCTACCAATAATGATTTTGAAAAAAAAATTTTAAAAAGAAAGTCCTACAGGTATTAAATAATTAAATCAGAATTCAAAAATCTTCTTGCAAAGAGTATTCAAAGACCACATGATTTCACTAGAAGAAATGACTCTAAATGCAAACAAACTCTAAATAATTTAAAATATGATGTACTTCTCCAACTTCTTTTATGAGATTTGACTGGAACCGAAACACTGAAAAAGGCAATAGGAAAGACAGAAGCTATAGGCCTGCATCACTGATAAACAGAGATGAAAAAAATCCTTAAAAATATTTTAGGAAACTGCATCTAAGGACATACACATGCACACGCCCAGACACACACATACATATAATGTGGACATTCATTTCTTACCGGGAAAACTGTTCTTGCCAAAAAATAAACTAATCTATTGCACCATATCAAAACTTAAAGGAGGAGAATCATAAGCACTAAAACTAAGAAAATGTGTGTGAAATAATTCACCATCAATGTATCAATATATGATTTGATTAAAAAAGTAGCAAAATAAAAGAGAATAGTTCTAATCTGCTAAAGGATAGCTTCAAAAAAAAAAACCAAAACCCTACACCAAACATTATAAATGATGAGAGAATACTTCCTTTTTTCCCTTATCAATCAGAAATCTTCAGGAACCAGACAGCTATGCCTACTGTAACCATTTCTCTTCACCACTGTGATGGAGCTGTTAGCCAAGGCTAAAGGCAAGAAAAAGAAATAAAAGATAAAAGAAGTGAAAATGAAAAACGAATATTGTAATTATTTGAAGACCTCACCTTATGCATCTCTTCATTTGTACCCTTTTAAAACTGTAATAGTAAGTATAGTGCTTTTTGGAGTTCCCTGAGTTGTTCCAGTGAATTATGGAACCTGGGAGTGGTGGTAGCGGGAACACCTGAAACTGTAGTCAGCAGATTAAAAGTAAGGGTGAATTCATATATATAATAAAGCATAAAGCACGCAGGGGGCACAAACATGGATACTTCAGACTTAATCAAACACCATTCAGGATTGGTTTATGGGGTCTGAAGATGTAGGGCAATAGTCTTGTGGGACAACTCGGCCAACTGACGTAGTATAGTACGTAAAGTTTATGTTCTAGATCCTAGTTTGGTGCACAGCATCTGGGGTCTTAAAAGCTTGCGAGCACCCATCTAAGATACAACTATTGGCCTCTAAGTGTCCAGAGTAAAAGCGAAAGAAGGAAATCAAAGGCTCAGAGAAGAAACTAGTCCACAGGACTAACAGTCTACATGATCCACGACTTCATCTACACTGAGAACAAAAGAAAAAGATGGTGCCTGGCTACCATTACCTATCATTCTGACAATAGATGGATCCTAATAGAATGGGACCAAAATGTGGAACAGAACTTAAATTAATAAAAAGTCCAGAGGGACAGGACCAGTTGAGACAGGAGGACTCTCCAAGACTATTGCCCTGATATACTCTTTAAAACTTGAACCAAAACTATTCCATGAGTTCATCTTTTAGCTAAATAATGGACTGGCTCATAAAATAAACAATATAATCTGTGAGTACAGGTAGTCCATGACTTGCAATGTATTCTAGTTATGTCGAACTGTGCTTTTCAATCATCTTTTTTTTTGTACATCTCATCATTAATAATATGTACTGCACACAAGGTTGCAGCATGTAAATTGCTGATGTTATCATTCTCAGATGTTCCTTCATAGAAGTTCAATTTTTGGTACACTGTTCAAAATGGCCATATAGTAGGCTATAATAAAAGGCAATAATAATGAAAACTAAACAAACAAACAAAAATGAGGTATTCAACTTACATCAGAACTGATTCACAATGGAGTCATTCATTCGAAAGGAATCACTTCATAAGTCAGCGACTACTTGTACTGTGCTCCTTTAAAAAAGCCTCTATACGAGACCAAATGGTCAACATTTACTCAAAAGCAAAGCTGAGAAAGCAAGGGGGAAGGGAAACTAGATTTACTGGAAACATAAAAACCAGAAAGGAAATAATGAGAAAGTTGACACACTGTGAAAAACGGAACCAATGTCACTGAACAAATTGTGTAGAAATTGTTAAATGGGAAGCTAATTTGCTGTGTAAAATCTCACCAAAAAGAAAATATTTTAATAATAATAAAAAAAAGTAAGGTGGCCCTAGGGGCCCTCAAGCTTGTGGCTGGTATCCTGAGAGGGTAATAAGAACCCCAGAATTTTTAGCCAGTAAGTCAGCAGTGAGGAGACCTAGGGGACCTCTGGACATGCAGCTGGTATCTTGAAGGGGTAGTAGGAGAGTACTTCAACCAAATGAGAGTTTGGTGGCCCATAGGCCCATAGGGACCATTGCTTTCTCCTGAAAGTGGGGACCCAGG